GTGCCAGTTTAGTAGCAGTTAGAGCTCTGTTTCCATTCCCTTTAAATTCACACATAGGCCAAATGTTTTCACATGGATTAGCTAGCATTTTGGTCCTTGCACCAAGCAATTTCCCAGTGGTGCTAAGCATGCAACGAATTTACTGCATTTTTCCCAATTCACTATACAAACAGTTCTGTCCTGTGTACAGGATTACAGCTGTCTCTCACAGTGACAGGAACAGCTACAGATTTATCTATCTTTAGCACTTGGCAAGGCTCAGCCAGGTCACAACACCAGGACACGCTCACCCTCAGTTGTACTGCCAAACATTACTCATGGTTTTGTACTTTCTTTTGCAAATAATGTGGCAAATGTAATGTGAAGGCAGCCTACTGCTTGGGTAGCTGGCCTTGTGTTGGACCTGGCAAGTAGGCCACCAATCTGGTGGCTAAATACACTCCCTCCTTGGCCATACTAAACTGGCTCAAGTAGTGGTTCTTTGCAGCAATCAAGCTGACTGGTATGCTGTGCCCTAGGATAGTCTAAGCTGTCAGATATCAACAACATAGTTGCCATTATTGCAGTAAGTATTTCTGTAAGTCCTACCATTCCTATTCTAGTAGGATACATCCTTTAATTACATAATTAAATGATGTTTATTTATTATTCACAGAAGTCTCATTCAACAAGCATTAGAGATGATACTTGTTGGCATACGCTGTTGGTAGAGAGTATATTTTTTATCTCTATCATCCAGAGTGTGACCATGATTTTTGTATTGAGTGGGTTATTGCTTTCTGTTTGGTAGCCTTCTAATGTGTTCTTATTGCAGTAGTATTTGAACATATTTTTAATCTTGAGTTTATTCTTATGCTTCTCTTGCACACCAAGAATGATGCATTCTTGTCACCCTTTGGTCATGAGCCACTGTTTATATAGAGAGATTATCTCCCTTCTCACTCTCAAAAATAACCCTCTAAAACAACCTTTGACAACTTGAGAAGAGGTCAGATAACATTATAAGAGGACCTGATCTGTGAGGCTGACATATGCAATGGTTAACTCTCCAGGATTATCCACCTTTTCATTATTATCCAGGGGTGAGGGTGGGCAGCAGGAGACCAGAATCAGAGTTCAGCCCTTTCCTAGGGAAGAGATTTTGTCTCTATCGCTCACTTCCAATAGGGCCAAATGACAGGACATGCTTGGATGTGCACACTCTGTATCCCTCTTATCTTATCAGGCTATGCTGAAAAGAAGGAAGGGTTGGAGAGAGAGAATACAAGAACCTTTAGGCTGAACATGTTCGTACTGTGATAAAGTCACTGTCCTAAGAAGGGTAGGATTTCCTGTTTTCTGGTCTCTGCTACATGAAATGTTACATCATGACTCATTAGTTAAAAATGCATAAATAGCACTAAGAACAGGGACTGGACTGCATTATGCCATCCCCGCTCCCTCCAACTATACACACAAGCTATTCATGTTACCCCAAGAAATGTCAAAGCTATTAAGAAATGTGCTATTTCAGTTCAGCAATGCAAAAATGCCTGCAAGGGAAACGCGGGCCCAAAAGGATTCCTTGGACTAAATAAACAATTTGCAGCAATGGATTTTTAGAAAAAAAGAAGCAGAAGAGCCTATTTTTAAATGGGGAAGTAGAACCTAAGTTTAACTTGGGTGCTTTAATTGTGGAATCCAGGTAGCAGGGCTGGTTTGGTAACAGCAATGCTGACATCCCACCTGCAAGATCAGGTTGCACATAGGAGTATGAATAATAGTTGCACTATTGATAACTGCAGCAATTATAGCATAATACAAATATGTTAATAATTATAAATAATAATGATAATAAATAATAAGGTGAGAGCTGATGAGAGTTTGATATGTATGTAAATGCCCAATTTGTGCAGCCGTTAAAACCTTGCCTGCAACGAACATGTTTATTGAAAAAGGCACCTGGTAGAGGGTGGTAGGAGACCTGGGTCCGACATGCAAGCCCACACTGCCTGCATACCATTTGCCAAAGGTGAAGTGGCAGCACCAGCATGGGAGCTCCTCTCTCATGGAGAAATTGCACTAGAAAATTTGCTAGATACAAATGTAGTATTTCTAAACAGAGGGCATGAGGGACATAGAGTTCTTTGCTTCAGCCACAGGGAGAGACCTGCACTGTAAGAGCACCATAGGTTGGAGAAGAACTTCTCAGGAGAGAATCCTGGTGACCAACACATCTGTTTGTTAGAACAACAGCCTTTCAATGTCTCCCCTGCTAAAAGTGATCCGCCATAGAAGGGAATCCAAGGTTGTTAGGAGAGCTGCCAGGTTCAGGGGGAGGGGAATTCATCTCTAGGACTACTTTTGCCATTTGTTCCTGTGGAGCCAGAAACTGAAGCCAGCCCGTCTCTTCTAGGCAAGCGTGGAATTACAGACACAGGAGGAAATATGGAACAAGTAAGCAGGATACAAAGTGTTTTTCAAATTTGGATTGATTCTCATGCTTTACATACTGAAACACATTCCCATGTCAGCTCCTAAGTGGCATCAGATTCTCGATATTTTTGCCCCTTAAGTCATTTAGTGTCCGGTGCCTTGTATGCAGCTGGAGAACATGTGTAGCTTTAGGGCTGGAAGTTTTTTACCTGACTAACTTCCCGCTCCAGCTGCTACTGAACCTGAAGCACAGGCTGGTGCTTGCACAGGCATCCATCCTTTTTTTTTCCTGCTGTGTAACCTGCAAAACCAGATATTCTGCTCTACTGTTTTGCAGTCGTATTCCCACTGTACACCCACAAAGGACCATAGCCTCAGGCCTTGCAGGAAGGGGCTCTGCTGTGGTCTAGGCAACGCTGCTTTTAGTGTATTGACCGTTTGAAGTCTTCTTTCGGCAGGTATGCGCTTTTTGGCTGCTGGTCCCTCACTCCCTTGCTTATCTGGTTCTCCTTCTCTCATGTTTTTCCTCTGTTCTCTTCTACGCTGGTTGCTTTTAAGCACTAATGCACTTCCCGCCCCTCTTTCATCACACCACATTGTACTGTTTGTACATGTGCAAAGTCTAGCTGAGATTTCAGTTTGCCTGCTGGGGGACTGTCCTTCTCTCTGCCCCAAAAACATTTTCTGTTGTCTGTATATCAAAGGCTGAATCCTGAAGATTGACAGCATTACTGCATTGCAGTGGGACAAGAGCTATCCCCCATAATCCATAAATTAGAAGAAATCCAGGTTAGATAACAGCCTGCCATCAGTAGCCATGGAGGCTCTAAATGGCAGGTGACCAACACGTCTGTGACTGCATATACCTCCAAAAATGTATCTGATGAGGACGTGTGACGTTCCTGTTTAAAGGACAAGATGCATGTGCAGCAGTGAGACAGCCCAGCACACACTGCCTCGCGGGGTGGATGCTGTACTAGAAACAGGCGCTTTCACAACTGTCCTCCAGCCTTGGTTATCCAAGCCTGGTTTCATCCAACCAGGAGAGGATTTTTGCCCTAAATGGTTTCATGTGTTTTTGCAGGTATGTCCTACAGTTTTATCTGGAAGCAAACAGTTTACTTATTTGCTTTTAATTATTTATGGTAATGAAATAGGGGGCGGGGGGAAAGCACCCTTCCTCAAAATTTTCCACAAAAATGAATACACTTGTAGTTCAGCTCTCTGGTCATGAAAGAAAACACAGTTCTCCACTATTGCTTATAATGTTTATTTGTTTTTAAATTCAAAACAAAGTTGTTGAATTTCTCAACACAAATAAGAGTAATGGAGGAAATCAAGGTGGGCTCTTCGTGTAACTTTCCCAAGAAATACACATTTGAAACATGCCTTTGCAAAACAACTACATTTTGGTACACCTGGACAGTGAAAAATTCCAGTCACGAATAGCAAAGAGTTTTGCAACAAATGCTTCCCCCCCCACCCCTGGCCTCGTTTAACACTCAAATTGCATTAATCGAACCCACAACATTTCCAGGGATAGTACAGAGACATTTCTATGGAAGTCTCTGAGTATGGACTAACTACTAAGAGGAGGAATTACAAAATATATACTTCCATGCTTTTGTTGTGTAAAATAAACATGATGGAAAAGTGGGGTATTGCTAGTAATGCTTCATAGCCTTGCTATTGCTGTGAACCCTACAGCTTAGTTTTAAAATCACTATTCCTAACTGCTACTTACTTGCATTTATCATAGAGTCATTTTTTTTTTTTTACCCATAGGCAAGTATGAAGACATTTTTTAGAAGAAACAGTAATGTCTTGGATTACATTTTGTAAATAGCTCTGATGCTGCGCTTTATCAATATGCTTGCAAACTTAGTGTAGTCACCTGTTTCACTGCCTGTACGATATCTCTTATTCCACTTTAACACTCAGAAAATAAGCAATCTGGAGTCAGATGAGTGAAATCAAAGCCACCTTCCTGAATGTGAACGCTACAGCTGGGCCATTCTCACTAGGGAGATGAGTGAAGAAGGAAATAATTCCACAAGCCAACACAGAGAGGTGTGAAGTTGCCATTCGGATGGCAGTGACTAGGAAATGCCAATGCCAGCAGCTCCCCAGCAAGCTCAGCGGGGCACTGCATCTCCTAGGGCCTGGACAGTGCAGTACTGTGCAGCTAAAGGGATCATCTGCAGTGGAAATGGCTCGAGATTTGGAAATATATTTGAAATGCAACTCTAATTCATAACATTTGGGTAGGAATGTATTGGGTTTTTTTTTGTTAGCTAATTCCTTTTCTTCACATGTAAGTTTTCCCCTCCTTCCTATAGTCTTGCCCAGGAAAATGAAAGGTTTCTGGCTCTGGGTGTGCTGCCCATCACTGTAATGGGCTTCACAGAGTTTTGTGCCCTGCGTCGAAAGGAAGTATCGCTTTATCATCAGAGTTGCTCGAGTTGCATGGTCAACAGCGCTACAGCAAGAAACTGGTGAACCAGAGATTAGGAAATCAGTCCAGTAGTGATTTGAAGGGTCTTTCTGAATACTGAGTGGCTGTGTGTGTTTACTGGCCACAGAACTTACAGTCTATCGCATTCAATATCAGGGTTATTAGATGGTGTATCAAAGATGCCAAAATACACTTCCCTGTTCACTGGAGGTGGGGTGTTGGTTGGACTTCCAACCCCAGAATCAGGGCTTGATGCAGGATGCACATCTGCATACTTCTGTTCTTTCTGAGAAGGCTCCTGTTTTTGCTTGAGGTTTTTGAAACGTTTGAGCTTCACTGGGTCCTTGACTTCTTTGGCACAATGGAACAAGATGAAAATGTCCCTCCGAAACTTGGAGCTCATTCCAAAGTAGATAATAGGATTGTAGAAGCTGGCAGATTTAGCAAATAAGCTGGCAAGGATACTGGTAAGACTGGGCACAGGGTGACCACAGGCCGACCATATAGAGATGACAGCGTATGGTGACCATGCAATAATGAAGGCTGTGCAAATGACAATAGAAACCTAAAAGACAGAGGAAAAATAGCTTTAAATGTCTTGTGGAATCCTTGCAGAGAAGATTTCATGAGAGACAAGATATACAGTGAATAGTATCTTGAACACTTGGCTGGAAGGGAAGCATTCAGGTTGTCATAGACAAGGCTGGATCAAGCTAGCAAGACCAAGAAGCCATATATTTTAGGTTAGCACAGTGTTATACTTGAGCAATGCATTATCTAATGGAAAATCACTACAATTCTGTGTGTATTTATGTGATTTCAGAAAGTTTAGAGCAGACTTAAGCCAATGATAAGTAATTAAAAGCTCCACTGTAACTTACATGTATGCTCAGAAGTAACATTGCTCTGAAAAAAGGAATATACCAAACCAAGATTTACTTTTTATGATATATTCCAATAATATTTAGGTTATTTTTAATCTGTGATGTTAGTTTAGCCTAAATAATATTTAGGTTATTTTTAATCTGTTTAGCCTGCTGAGGGGGACGGAGTTTTTAAATATCTTGTTATTCTGAGCTGAAACTTCGTCATTTTAGACAGCGGAGCTATGAAACATGATGGATTTGTTTTGTTGTCTTCCATCCCAGCTGAGAGCAATTTTAAGATAATGTGCATCAACATGAAACCCAAACTCACCCTTGTGACATCTCGCTCCATCCTCCTCTGTCTATCTGTTGGGTCGCCCAGGCCTGTTAGCACGTGGCTTAATTTGACAGTATTGATAATTGACACATATGAGAAAATCATGACAATTACAGGTAGGAAAAAACAGCAGATAAAAATGGAGACAATGTAGGATTTGTAGATTGTAGAGAAGTTGGCTTTTGCCCAGTCTATCTCACACGTTCCGTACATGCGATCTGGAAAGCAAAAGTAATTTGGTTATCATTTTTAGAACATTTATCTGCTTGTGTGTGTTCCTTTTATCAGTTTAAGTAAGTAGTGCGGTTTTCTTCTTTTAGAAAATTAAGAACAGAGTGATCTTGCTGATTTTACGAGTCATGATATATTTACATAAGCAAATTTTCAAGATGCCCAGGCAAGAAAAAGTGTCACTGAGCAGTATCATTCTGTTCAGTTTAGAGCTTTAGCGTGAATCAGTAACGAACAGACTGTTGTTTCATAATAGGAAACTGTATTAGTTCATTATAAAAATAAGTTTTAATTTGGTAGGCTTGATATTCTTAAGCGCTATCATCCCTTATTTGACATCATCTTCTACATAGCAACTTCCTAAGACAAGCACTGTGAAAAGTACTTATGAAGAGGCAATATACCAAAGAATGTGAAAGTTTTTTCTTATGTTGCAAAGTAGGAAATATAAATATTAGGGTTTCTTTTAAAGTAGAAGCCAAAAGGCAATGGAAAATTTATTGTGATAAAAGGGACATGAAAGCAAGCTAATGGTAAGGTTCAGGCAATGATAAAGATCTACAATCAGAAAGGGGCTGCAATTGCTTAAAAAAGTAGTTGGATGGATTGTGGGATTTGCAGCTAGTAGGATTTATGAAAGGACCCTGCCTGATCAGGCATGTAAGGGAAAAAACACTGGAGTTAAGGGGCAGTCTCTGCTGAAATAGTTTTGTGAAAAAAATCTAAACTTTCAAAATGACTTAATGCGCTTGCTAATATGTCCTATTATAAAAACCTTGAGTTTGTTAACTTCATGGATTTTTGTATATTTTGAATTGCTGTTTTAAGTGGAACAGGCTGTTTTTTTTTCTGATGAGCAGTGGCAGCAAACTGCAAGATAAGTACATGAAGTTTGAACCAAAATTACTTAAGCAAGTAATAGCAGGTCCTGGAAATACAGAACAGGTGAAGCCTATGTGATTTAATAACAGAGCTTTCTCTGACATCTAGTGATAACCCCTAAAAGCAAACAAACAAACAAAAAAATCTAATTCCCCATAGCTGATCTGAGGTTTAGATAGAACTAATTAAAGGAACAAAGGATGAAAATCTCTTTTATAGGTCTCACCAAAAATTGCTCAGTGTTACATGTTACAAAAAACATTACAAAAGTTTTAGGTACTTCTGTGTAGGTGTCTTGAGTGATAGAAATAGGGTTTTGCCTTCTTTGCTGCCTTGTTCATGCATAGATCTCAAAACACTGTTCAAAAAGATAACCATAAAATCTAACCTAAAAATGAACTTCCAGGTGATAAGAAAAGGAACTTGCTCATATTTCCTCCAACCAGACTTCTGAAGGAGGTTCCCCCCTGCCTTCCGCAAGGACGCTGGCAAGTGGCATTTGCAGCCTGGATGGGCTCCTGGGGACTTGCACAGAGCACTCTGTGCAAGCAGAGCCATGGGCCACGTGGATACCCTGACAGGGCAGAGGCGCCAGGCCTGTGCCTAGGGACAACAGTGGATGTCAAAATTCTTTGTAGAAATGAATGGACGGTGAAGAGTCAAAATGTTTTTAGAACTGAAGGGCTAGTGAGAATTCATGTGCTATAAAAACTTAGATTGCCAGAAGATACATTGAGAATGAGAAGTCTAATCCCTCCTCAAGTTTTACAGTATATCTAGAGGACAAAAAACCCCAACAACATAAAATTAGAAAAGTCATCCTGGCTGACATTAACGATCCATTAGTCTGATATCCTGATAAAGGATTGGTTTTGGAAAAGGCATGAGAGAACAATTATACAAATGGATTTTTTTCTTACATGCAGCTTTCAAGAGTTAAGCTTATATATTTAAAAAGTCAGAGGATATATTTACATCGTATTATCTAATAGACCTTGTTAGGTTTCATGACTTCTCAAAGACCCTTATTTAAATGAATTACGCTTTGCCTATCAAAACATCCTAAATGCCTAGCAATGGCCCCATGAACAAGCTCTCCAGGGAGGAATCTTTCCTCATGTCCACTGTCATGGCACCAACCCTTTTCATCACCATGGAACTGCAGTTACAGGCTTTCTCCTTCTCCTAAATCCCTAAGCCACATCCTCCACTGAGCCTTAGCCTCCTACAATGGCTCCTCTGATCAAGCTATTGAACTGTCTCAGTGGTCACATTTTTTTCCTCACCTTTTTTTTTTCCCCCTTTTCCTCCTACTTTTTCTTTTGGCAATGGCCTTAATTTATAACCTAGTTGTCTATTGCATTGACAGACTTTCTGGCATCTTTTTTCTTCTTCTGCTCTTTTACTGTTCATACTTTCAAAAAACTGTTCCACAAAATCTTTTTTGTCATGTCTTATTAGAGTTCAACTTTAGCTTAACTTGCCGGAACTTGTGTTCTTTTCTCACTTCCTAATTTTGACAGTTTTTGAAGGATGACTTTTGATAGTTTCCTTTACCTCACTGCTTAAACATGCCAAATATTTCTGGCCTCTTTTACCACAGGTAATATGCTTTAGTCCAAGTCTCTGCTAGGATATCTTAAAATAAATTCCTTTCAGGTAATATGCTTTAGTCCAAGTCTCTTAAAAAAAAATTCCTTATAGTTGATAATATGGAAGACACAAGTCATGACTGGACACAAGTCATGGATGATGAATGATTTTCTAGGTTCCTCTCATAATCAGTCTAGCTTTCAGCAGGGAAGAAAGGTAAATATCTTTGATCAGTTAAATAGACAATTGCCAAATAAGTGCAATAAAAGGTATGTTACCTGTATAACTGCCCCAGCCGAGTAATGGAGCTACTGACCAGAAGAAAGCTGCTATCCAAATGAGAACCAGAGCTACTGTCATGCTGCTGTTGCTGATACAATGACCTGGAATCATATGGTTTATTGAGAAAAGAATAATTAGTAAATTAGCCTTACCTCTGCAGATAAAATATAAACTCATTCTTATAGCAACTGGTAATAAAGAAAGTAAAGTTATTTGAAAAAAATGCTAAGATGAAAGATATGCAAATCTTAAATTTGAAAGCATGTCAGGCTTGTAAGTGTTGGTAAGATCAACAGTGACTTGAATAGATAATTAGAAGAAGACAAAATATATTTATTCAACACTGCAGAATTAGCAAATTCTGTGTTGGATTTATGTTTTGTAATGTTGTAGAAAGCAGAAAAAAAGTTAGATTTTGCACTTTTGGGATTACTTTTCATCTAAACAGAAGCACTTCTTATGGCCACCAAACTCTATCCCTTAGTACTTTCTGTGAAGTTATGTTGAGCACTTGCTTAGATTTGCTTAAGGGGTAAATTTAAATTATGCACACCCTCCGATGAACATATGATGAACAGCTTGCAAAAGAGAAATCCATGTTTCACATGCTGCAATGAATTTAAGGCATAGAATACATTTTAGCCAAATTCTAACACCCCCAGCAGGTTGTGTTGAAAATGAACTTCAGCAAAAAAATCATTGCAACAAACTGCAGATGAACTTTTTGTGAAAAAAAGACATTCTTGCAGGCTAATTAGAAAGAGAAATACATGTGATGTATCCAATGTATTAATGTACACTTTATATTCAGATGTTAAGAGTTTTCTGATTGAAAGGTGGTGCAAGCCTATCACAACAAAGACAGAAAAATTGTTAATATTTGATCTATGGATAGGTGTAGGAATTACTGTTGCCTGGAATACTAGGGAGGATTCATGGAAGACGCGAGTGGAAAGGAGAGAGATAAAATAAGTTTCCTGATGAAGATAAAAGTTTTCAGCATAGCATGAGGTTCAAGATGAACAGGAAGGAAAGGTTTCTACCCATCTTCTGAAAGGGAATGTCTGGGATGAGTAAATGCTAATGTAAAGATGCACAAAGGGGAGAAAAGGTAGATGGAGGTATGTTTACATTGGCTTGCTTATGAGGGCTACGTAGCAGAATAAGGAACAGGAAACTTGCAAAGGTTTTCAGATTGGATTTGAAGAGCAAGACACTGATATGCCTTTAGAGAGGTAGAGTTAAAAAAAGTAATCCCCAATTCAAAAAACAAAACAAAACAAAACAAAACAAAAAGAAAAACAGAAAGAGAATATTTAGTGAGGCTTTTAGCACTGGAGATACTGAGGAACAGTGACTCTTCAAGATATTCAGGTTGCAGATGTACAGAGCGTTAGAGAAGGAAAAGATGTGGAGGAGAGGTTGTGAGGAGAACACCTCACAGACCTAGGGGCAGCAGGACCCAGGGGACATGTGGACAGAGCAAGGCTGTGCTCGGGTTAGGAAGCTGTGGGGATGTGTGCCTGGGTCTGCCTGCGGAGGCTTGCTGAGGCGTCAGGAAACAGCACTGAGAGAGAGGATGTCTGCGTGGAGCGCAGCCTGCCAAACCAGGGTTATCTTCAAACTCTTCTCAAGGTTACTTTATAGATTAGACTTGCTGCTTTACAGTGCAGTCCCAATAAGGATATTTGCCTCACTTAAAAACCATTTAAGTGGTATTTTGAGGAAAACAGACAACCATCAGGGCTGGTAATATCTTTGGCACAAGGGTCAATTTTATGCAGGGTGACCAAAGTGTACTATTATAATTTGGCTCTTATTTGGGTCAACTCTCAAGAGGTTACTCAAACATGTCATGAAGGGGATAGGTTTCCTGCATGTCATTTATTTTTGATCAATATGCTGACTGAACAGGCTACAGATTTACATCACAGTAAAGGAAGGCAGAATTGGACCTGCCTTTATTCCTTACCTCTCTCAGGATGGCAGCCTTTTATGTAGCGAGTCACGCTGATTACTGTAAGGGTATTAATGCTAGCCAGGCCAAAGAGGAGTGTCAGGAACCCATCAATCTAAAAGAAGAAGAAAAAAAATAGTAGGGCAGGAGGTTCTCTTACTGCAGAAGGAGAACCAAAGGAGAACAGAACTGCAGGGTTTGCTCCTGTCACTTTCATATTAATGCTCTTGAAAATTGTTCCAGAAACCAATCAGGAGAATATAAAATGTCAGGAACAGTTATCTTTTATGGGATCAATGAGCAAGGAAATGTTCAAAAATTAGAGAAGTGCTCTGTAATGTACACAGAATAAGCAAACACACCCTCAGCTGTATGCTTTCCAAAAATGATTTGCCAAATGAAGGAGAAAAAGAATGAAATAAAAACAAGTAAAACCTTGAATAGGCAAAGAGGGACAGGATGCAGCCAGTTATTTTGTGTAGAGCAGATACACAGACTGAGCCCATACATTGTAAACCAATGTAGGCAGAATGCAGAAATTAATGGGCTTGGCCAATTGGGGGTGGGGAGGGAGAGAAACAAAACTCACAATTAAATTAAAACATTCAGAGCTAAAACAGCCAAATAGGTTGGCTCTGCAGGGATGCTGCTGTTATTGACTGCATGCTGTGTGCTCAGCCGTCGTGCTCTTTCCTGCCTCACACAGGCTGCGTGGACTCCTCTTGACGTCAGCATCTCAGCAGTCTGTGCACAGAACAGCTACAAATCTGCTAGCTTCATTTCTGGGTATGAATTTACTGCTGAAGATAGCGAAGATGGAAGTAGCCATCTGCTAGGGAACACTATATGACGCTGGGAAATGATCCAGGCAGCACTTTGAAGACAGTCTAATTTTTGAGAGCCTGCAATCATATACCAAACTGGCAAGAGCTGAGGATCTCTGGAGGTGCCAGTTTTATGCTGAGCGAGGTGGGAATGTTGAGTAAACGTCACTGGACTTCAACTTGGGATTTAAGTAGTGAAATTACGGGTGGGAAGTGTGTCATCATCCACAGGACAAACTCAGTCTCTGTATGAATGGGCACAACTCCCAGGGAATTCAATTTATTCCAGAGTCGAATCTGTGACTTTAATCCAGATTTAAAGCAGCTGAGTCCATGGCGGATTATATAAATTAAATTAGGTGAAGGGTTAGGAAAGGACGACTTAATCATTTCTTCTGCTGGTGGCTTTTGTTCCCTCCAATGCCCTTACGTTGCCTCTATATACTTTTTAATGCTGACTTTTACAGACTCATGACATTTTAAACATATGCGTGATATACTACTATAATGGCCTAAATCCAGTCTAAATCTAAATCTATGCTCCATTTAAAATCAGCTCATACTTGGTGGAAAGCTGCTACTGTGATTTCATCAGAAACTTTCATCCTTGGATGTCTCAGCTGCTTACGACAAGCTGCACTTGGCTGAATTTGTCCAATTGTCAGCTTTGGGGATTAGTGAAATACTCAGAAACACAAATGTGCTCTGCAGTTCATTACCTTATGGATGCAAGCAGCTGCCACCTCTCTATGTGCTCTACCTGCACTTCATGAATCCAGAAAACAGCATGGTCAAAGACTTAAGTAACCACACGGCATAAGATTAAGCAGTTGCATTGGTTACTAGCTTAGAAAGGAAGTAGTGTTCAGCAATGATGTAAATAAACATGCCGAAATTAAGCCTGAAGAGCTATGAGCTTTAAAACTAAAGTACTAGGACAAGCTGCTTAGTGTGCATCAATTAGCTGCTCCATGCTGGTACTTGTTTGTTTGTTGGCTGAGTCCTGAAATATGTTTGCATATGTTTTGTCACCTGCAGCTGTACACAGTATTTTTCCAATACCTCTTTCCTACTGTGAGAACAAAGGGACATTTATATTAAACTGTCAGTTCAAATGGCTCCTGAGCACCCATACAAAGGGAGGAGTGTAGGTCTCAAAATACACTTGAGACCTGTTTGTAGATTGGTGGTCTGCTAAAAAATGCAGTTTTACCTAAATCAACATAGTTCACAGGACTGAGCAGTTGTCAGTGCCATGTGCCATTTCATACTATTTCATAACAGAGCATTTCAGCCAGAAATAGTCAGGATACTATTGCTGCTGCTCATGTGGGGGACCACACAATTAATATGTGGGTAAAGTGGCAAGAGCCTCCCGAGTGGCAGCTGTACTAACCACAGACTGTGTTGCCACTCCGAGCATATCCAAATGGCTATGGAAGAAAGAGCTCTGCTATTCTCACAGATCTTAAAAAGATAACGCTGATTATAGTTAGCAATCAAGTATTCAAAGTATTAGTATTCAAAGCAGTTAGCAACAGCATAACTGGCTGTAGATAGAGATACTAACGTATATCAGCAACAATAAATTAAGATATTCTCATTTTTATACAAGTTTAAAAATACCTGGAATATCAGCCAAACAAATGCAAGAATACTGTGTGAGGTTTCAATACATTAATGCTTTTCATCTTCCCAAATTCTGTTTTCCCTTTTCTTTTATTCTACCACCTTCCAGTTCCTTCCCTCCATGGTCATAACATTTCCGAGGATCCTACTCCAGCTGCAACACTTCCCTGTTTCCCTGACCCTCTGTTTCTGTGTAATGCAGTGTTAACGTTGTCCTTCCTGTTATCGAATATGATCAAATGACAGCAGTGCCTATAGGTAATATTGAATCCTGGTACAAACAAAAGTTCATCTTATGGTAATTTTGATCCAACAGCCTTTCTCTTTAGCTCATTGAGAAATAGTAAAAAGTAAAATAGAGAGGGAAATCAGTGGATTTCTCAGTGCTGTATCAACATTGCTCCTTTGACTGTACCGATGTTCACAGAATTTGCTCGTTATCTTTATTGCTCTTTGAAGTTAAGACATGAATTAACAAAAAGATGGTTTATTCTTTGTACTTCCTTTGCCTTGTTTGCCTCATTAATGTTCCTGATATTTTATTTACAACCCACAATAAGTAAAGCTGTTACTGCATGCAGATTAGTTTTTTAAGGTTTGCTTCAAACACAGTGAAAGTCAGGAATCTCCTTTACACAACCAAACTTTCAATTATGAACTTGGATGTGCCCTCGTTTTATTGCTTTTATACTCATATATCCCTTCTGACTTCATAAAGGTTGTCTTCATTTAAAGCAGATGGAGTAAAATACAGCCTATTGTTCCTATTCTTGGATTAATTGAGATTTAATGGTGCAAAAGCAGATTACCAAAGTAGCTATTACATTTCAATTTAGGCTGAAACACTAATCTCAGCAGCCAGAAAGACTGCATCACTCCCTCCTCTGGCAATACGATACAAAACAGACACTGGGGAATCTGAATTTCCTGAAACGATTTACTTCCCTTCTAAACTGCATGTCAAGACTTTCTCCTCTATTATACATATAGATAAAGAAAAAGATAAACTTTAATAGAGATTATTTTCAACGCATGTAATAGATTACATGCATTGAAACTTACCAAAATAAGCTTGCTCAAAATAATTCTATGAATACAAATCATTGTTTTTCATGATGATAATATAAAGAGAGAATGGTAATAAACCCCCTCAAACCTAAATACAAGAAAACAGCTGATCAATCTATACAGAATCCACTAGGAAAAAAACAGGTAAGAACTTCAGACAAAACATTTAAAAAATTTTAACAAGTTTTAAAAGTGTGCAGAAGTGAGGAAATATTTGAATCAAATCGAATGACAACCTTGTTTCCCATTTCTGCAATACCTCAGTAAACTGTCAGCTAGGCTAATTTATTGTATCTAAACTCTTCTATTACATGGAAGAACTGCCAAGGGATATGACTAAAATTAATCTTCATGGTAGATTGCTCAAAACCCAAAATGTGGAGTGTTCCTAAAGCATTAAAAATAGTTTCTCAAAATTTACTGCAATATTGGAAGTAAAAAAGAATTGTAGTCTGCTACAGTTTCCACAGTGCCTTCCTTTCATGGCAGATTGCCTTGTTGAGTGGCTGCATTCTGAGTGGCCCCTTTAGACTGTCTGAGCACACTTCAAGAGTAGCCCTGCTTTAGAGGTCATTATATTAATCCAATCCATTATGGGTTCCTGACACAAACAGCACTTAATTTACTAAAAAACAATGAGAAATTCTATATGATTAGAGGGTTTAAACTGTTAAGTGAGAGCATCAGGTGCTCAGTATTTTGCATTCACCAAGTAATAAGACCTTTTTATTGATGGCATATATAGAAATATACTTTAAATATAGGAAAAATATTAATGCAATATTTAGGCTATACAGTTAAGTGTTCAAATATATAGCTACACTACACGCTTGGTTAGTGCTAGCTATACACATAAAGAGCAGCTAATGTATATCAGGTTTTGCCTTTAGTAATGTTAGTGAATGAAGCTACTTGCTTGCATGAAGTTATCTTAGGATAATATACTGGCTTAATCAAATGAGATTCAAAGTGCATTTGGGCTGGCTTTTAACTTTAACATGAGAGCGTTGTAGCTTTCTCTTGTCATGATTTATACTTATAGTTGTATATACCCCATAAAAATAGTACTCTTAAGTCATTGCCAGGGCATAACAACCACACTAAGCATAAGTGCCCATCCTTTAACAATCAGAAAGAAATTTCCTTCAGAATTTCCTCATAAAAATCTAATCATGTGACATCCTCATTGCAAGAATCATCTCTCCATCTGCTCATGAGCTTCAGGCTCACACCATGGGACAACAACTGGTTTCTTACCTCCCCCTGGCAAACCATAAAAAATGAAGGAGGTGAGAGGAGAGGAAGCCACCATCGATACAGCTCACACTATGTTATGATTGTGCCTGCTTGTTTATTGTTAGTATCACTATTAAAAATAAATAGCTATATAGACAAAAAGAGGAAACAGCTGCTCGATTCACCATCATCATTCCTACAACTGAGTCATATCATACCTTTAATAGAGTCATTTTTATGTTTCCTTGGAAAGCAAAGCTGGCTTCGTGGACCCAGTGATCTAACCCCAATAACTGGGATCCTTTAATATCAGAATAAGTCCCAGTTTTATTTTCAAAGTAAAGCTGTACTAGCTTTT